CATTTAATTGCCTGCTCCCTAAGTCTCTGCCCCAAGCCCTTGTAAATAAGAGTTTGCAGATGTGTCTCAAGCTGCTGCCTCCCCAAAAACGTTCATTTCTAGCTACTGAAGAAATAAAGAGATAATATGAGGTACCTTTTCACCATAAAAATTAAATGGACATCGTTTTCTGTGGACTGTATGTTAGGCTCTTTAAGGAGTGATGTACCTAAAGCAAAGGACACCTGGAGATGTGTTGACTAATAAACCTAAAGGTCAAAATCACCAACTGCTGGTGAGATAGTGGAGGAAGTCTTTAAAATGGGTTTTGTTTTGTGGGAAAGACAAAACTTGCAGTGGTGCTAACAATTTTAATTAGTGTTTTTGAGTGTAAGCTGGACATTTCAGCAGTGAGGAGTAGTATTAGATGATCACTTTTTTTGTCAATAAATGCAAATACAAGAATATTTGTATTTGAAAGAATATGTACTTACTTGTCAGCAAAATGGGACAAACAGAACTGAATTACTGTGATCTTAGCAGCCCTGCAGTGTGTTTGTGTTGTCTCAGTCATCGCAAACGCAAAGGTCAGGCTGTGAATGGGATTTTTTTTTTTATTTTGTATGGAGGGCTTGATGGCCTTTGCTTTGTGTTTGAAGCACAAGCCCATGGTATACTTGGTCATTGCTGATGATACTCTTTAGCAACCCCAAAGTGTGCAGAGACAGTGGAGTCACTAGAGGATACTTGGTTTTCCCTTGTTACAGTTAGCTATTCTTGCTATCTCAGTAAATTTAAAATAGAGTTGAATGGCCCTTTGACCACAATACAATGAAAGTCTTAAGGTAAATAAACAGCTTTCCATTAGCTGAAATTATAAAATTGTCCAGTGCCTCTAAAACATCCATAAAAGCACTAAAGTACCTGAATATGTCTGGAAGCAGATGCCTGGCTAATATTTCTTGCTTGCTAGAAAGTGTGTATATTATTTAACCTTTTGCTTGTTTATCAAAGACTGGAAAAATGCAAACTTCAGTGGCACCTCTTTAGCTTTTTAAATGTGTCTGTATGAACCTAGGGTGTACAACCAATTGTTGAACTAGACCCCTAAAAACAAACGGAGTAAGACTCCCTCAAGTAATAAAATTGATGGTCATTTTTTCAGTTTTACAGCCCATAATCTGTGGTATCATCCAGACCAATCTGCAGTCAGCCCACCTCCTGCTTTACTTGACACTGGGAAGTCACTTGGGTACAGTGATGATGTGAGATGTAAAATAGGGATGAGTGACTATAAATGTTATCCATGCACTGAAGTCACATCATTCTGGAGCTCTCATCTCCTAAAACCTCACCTAGATCTTGGCAAGGTGGCTTGGGATTTTGACACTTCACATATGTGAAGCAGATGAAGGAAGGGAATTCATGTATCTGAATGATCTGACTATTGAAACAGATTTTCTGGAAGAAAGCATATAACTTCATCTTTACTTCATGAAAATGCACCTGACTGGAGTATTTATTCAGTGTAGCTCTCTCTGTAGCTTGTGAGTTCCATGTGAAACCCCTAGAAAATATTAACATAGTATTTTACAGCAGATACCATAGTGGTTAAGCTTGTGCCTTTCATGATGGTTTTGGTGGGCCTGCTGTTTTTCCTTCTGTAACCTTGATGGGACTGGTTTGTTAGGACAATGTGTTCCCTTAAAGACAGTCTTCACAGGGGGGACAAGAGTTGACTGGAAATGGTGGAAGCAGCTTTTAAGGGCAGTGTACAAAGTCCAAGAGATCAGACTTTCTCCTGTGTCTCTGCCTGGCCAGGTGCTTAGGCTGGCACCCCACGTAGACAAGGATACCCCACAAATACCATGGGGACAGCAGTGTCAGTCCTCACAGCCAAAAGCGTAATTTCTAAAAGCAGGTATCTACCTCATGGTAGGCAGAAGATTAAATTCTTCTTTGGTACAAAGCCTGCAGCGGTGTGTCATGTTCGTTTTAGCACTGAGTTGAAGCTTTCTTGACCTATGTTCAGTGTAATTAAAACCAAATCCCTCAAATCCAAGAATTGTTTGGAAAGGATTCTGTAATGCTGGGGCAGTGTGTATAGACGTGTTCTCATGCCTGCCCAAATTGTATGGATTTGGTTGTCGGAGCTGCTGGACTCCAGCACTTCCATTGATTTGTCACAGTCTACAAATCCTGGAGCTTCTTAACACCGTGAGGAGTAGAAATGACTTAAAGAAAACAATTGTGTGTATTTACTGTGACTGCATTATGCACAATTTAATAACATTTATATAAAAACAAGTTGAGATGCGTTTTGCTTTATTTATGCTATTGTCAGGTTGTTTTTCTTTTGCCTAAATGAACCCCTTTTGATGCTCTTGCTTGTCTGGCTGGCTGTAAACCAGGTATTTAAACAAAAATAAAGAGTTGCCAGTTTTGCCAGCTGGGGATGAGAACCCGGCTGGTGATATGTGGGTTCAGAAGGCAGTTAATCCAGCTTTTATGCTTTTTTATGATTTTATGTAAAAAGAGGTTAAAAATCACATTTGGCTCTTTCTTTGTACCACTGTTTTGTTGCTGTTGTGGGAATGCAGCAAAAGGTTGCTCATACTTTTTATTATTATTAGATAAAGTCCTGCATAAATTAGGTAAAGCCCCAGATACAGTTTGCTTTAGCTATTGGCCATGTGATTTGCCTTGTTCAGAGAATGATATGTTTCATCTTCCCGTTGCCTTCTTTTATAAATCACATGTGCAAACCACACCTTAACTTGTTACAGGAATCTGCTACTACCTCATGATTTTTTATATATTTTCCTAGCTTCAAAGAAAAGAGTAGCTAACTGTACAGATAGGAGAAATAGTAACACTGCTAACAGATACAGCAGAAAAATATATAATGCTTTATTTTGTGGCAGAAAAAAATGGTGATTTAAAGACAAGCATTACAGATTTCATATACAGTTTTTCAGTAAATCAGTTGCAATATGCTCAAACTCAAAAAACTTAATTAATTTTAAAATGCAGGAGTTAGTTTTGTCATATGTACTTATTCAGATAATTTGTTGTATTTTACACTTTCCAAAATTCCACCTTCTATTTGGAAATAGAAGTAACAAGTCTCTGTGTTTTGGCACAGTTGTAAATAGTATGTGTTAATGTGTTAATATTTATGATTTTTTAATCTTATATACACAAGAAGAATTTGTAATAAAGTTCTTTTCATCGTGTTTCTACTACTAATCCTTAAGGACAGTGCAAACTACGAGTATGAATACATTTAATTACTGGGGGGTTGTCAAAACTGCCATACTGGATCAGGTTGTGTTTCGTCTCTGCTAACAGCACGTACCAGACAGTTCAGAGCAGGGTTGGATTTACTTGGTGGGGGCAAAAGAGAGACAGATAAATGAGTTCAACACCCTCATTAGGACTGGCTAGGGTAGTGCATGTGTCCTGTGATGTGGTCATGGCCACTCAGTGTCCCCAGGTGGGGGAGGCCTGCGTCTGCCCTTGCTTCAGAGGAAAATATTGGAAGTTACCTTACACTTTTTAGACAATCACAATGTAAAGTACTCATGGAAAAAGGTTACTTCTTATCTGTTAGAGGTAGTCTTGTTCGTTAAAGCCTGAAGGCTTTACCTACATATCACCAGATTTTCACTACCATGTATCTAAATGACTGTTGCTGTGTGTCTACTCACAGTTGGAATCTCGGTGAGCTCTTTGTGGTGATGACTGTGTGTGTCTTTGTTACAAAAAGTGTTTTGTTTACTGTGGGTTAGTGTTGGGTTTGTTTGGTGTGTTTTGTTTTGTTTTTTTTTACCAGCATATGTGCTACCTTTCAGAATCTGCCTTTTAATGGTACAGAAACAATTCATTACAAACAAAAATTTAATTCTTTATAAGTATAATCCAACTCTATTTGTTGAACTTCTTTGATCTTTCTGTTTATTATTTAAGTGTAATTTCTTGCTTTAAGATTTTTGCTTCTTTAATAGAACTTTCTGAAGCAGTTTTTGGCAATTTGTCACATGTAGCGCCTTCTGTAGTACCATTTATTAACTTCTAACTTGAATCTTTTTTGAATGGAGGGTATGATCTAGAAATTCACAGAAATTGGAATCATTTACACGTATGTTCAGTAGCCTTCCGTTTCCTTATTGCTTATGGTGTCATTATGGGTGTATGCTGCTATTGTCTCCCATTTCTACAGTGTAAAATGAAAGTCTGTTAAGGTCAAGACACTGCTTAGATTCCTTATTCCAGTTTTCTGGGGCTACTTGGAGAAGGGTTGTGGAGTAGGTTGTTTTAAGGTACACAATATTGGAGGTTTTATGTTAAGAAATTATATTAACCTTACCATATCTCTGTGATCATCTGCTATCATACAAACATAATATCATATAAACATAGTCTCTGTTTTTTTCATTAGCACAGTTCAGCTGTTTGGACCATCTCATGGAACATAATGAAACCTTCAAGTGAAACACGTTGAAGTCTTTTAATATAAACAAAGACCATAAAGAAACTAAGCTTGTCTTACTGAGATTAAGTTGTTTCTAAATTTGAGGCTTTATTCTTACAGGTGGGGTAAGGAGAGAGGAGGTGCCTGAGCAAAGAGATGCTACACTGCTTTTCCCAGAAGAATGCTAACCAAGGCAGTAGTGCCTGTAGACAGTGCCTCTTCCTAAAGCTGTCTGCACTATGAATGGGATGGTAGAGGACAGAGAAAAAAAAGGGAAAATGCAGTCATGATCATTTTGAGCAGGTCATTCTAAATTTTTTATTTTGCTTTTAGCAGCATGCTCCTTGGTATGCCTGGAGTTCCAGAGAGCTCAGGTGTGAGTCAATACTGCAGCTTCATGTGTTGAGCCAGGTTCTGGGAGTCCTTGTAGCACACTGTGAAAATAAAGCCTTGGAAACACATTCAAATAGAGATGCATCAAACAGACTGAAATGTCATGTCTGAAATTAGTGCATTGTTTTACAGCTGGTTTTACTTTCTGTCTTAGGTGTTGGAAGACAATGATTATGGTCGTGCAGTGGACTGGTGGGGATTAGGAGTTGTCATGTATGAAATGATGTGTGGGAGATTACCATTCTACAACCAAGATCATGAGAAACTTTTTGAACTGATACTAATGGAGGATATAAAATTTCCTCGAACTCTGTCTGCTGATGCAAAATCATTACTATCAGGCCTACTGATAAAGGATCCAAATAAGCGGTAAGTTAAATTACTTGGGTGTACAGGCATAATAAATGCTCTAATTATACTGGGTAATTTAAAAATTGGCCAGTGGTGCCCGGCCAAAGGACCTGTCAGTCACAGGAAAAGGCTATATGCAGCCATACAGTCCGATTTCCACTTTTTCAATACAGCAACAATATGCAAAATGAATTTAACAAGTGAAAGGGGAAAAAAGCATGTGGACGAGAGCACCTTTTTAATCATTCACAGCAAACACAGGGATCTTTTTGGGTTTAGCTTGTGCACTGGAACACAGGGAAAGCTCTCAGTTGTTTTTCAAATACCCTCTCATGTGGACTACAGCACTTTTTCTTGGAAGAGATCATGCCAGAAGACATGTGTAGACAGCCACAGCTAAATTTTATTAGTGTACATAAGTAAATCACATATTAGACCATGTAAGCTAGTAACTTGTTCAAGAATGCATCTTCTGACTGAAATTTAAATACAATGGTTTGAAAGCAAGTATCACCCAGCTGCTGCCTGTGCCCTTTTGTGGTGGGCTTTTCTCTCTGGGGGAGCCATTTTCCAGTGGCTTCTGCACCAGACCAGCAGTGTCCAGTCCCTTGTGTTTCTAAAACAAATCTCTGCCTGCATAAATCAGTGAGATCTGTCTGTAGGCCACCTCTTTTCCCCAGTCTCTCCGTTGTTCTTGCGAGTCTCTTGGTGTGTTTTCAGGCTTCAGTCATTCTTCTGTCTCTCTTCTCTAGTCCTCCTTCATCCTTAATTGTTCCAGTAAGTTTTCAGCGGTGGGCGTTGCTCGCTGGGCCTCAGGGCAGGACTGGTTGCTGTGTCTCTCTGAGGGGCTTGCCTGTGTGCAGCCAAGTGTAACAGCCAGGACAAGGCCAGCGGTCAGCCCTGCTGCTGCTGCCTGGCACTGCCTGGGTAACTGAGTTTACTACATGCAGTGAAAGCAAACTGGGACCAACCAGCCAAAGACGTGGAGACTAAAGAGAAAATTTGTCCTGTAGCAACTCCCAACGCATTTTAACCTCCAAATAATCTGACCTATCAAATGTGTTAACCTTTAGAATTGAAAAGATCCTTCCTTGTAATTAATCTTTGGAGACAGTAGTGTTTATTACAGATGTTTACAAGCTTATTTGTATTCTAGTTTTGGTGCTAGCTAATGCTCAATAGAGTGGTAGCGCAGAGGTTAACTGCAATTCAGCTTTTCTCTGAGCAGCTGGATGGGAAGATATAGAGAGGAGTCTGGAGACTGATGGCTAACTGGGATTCTCTGCAGAGAAGTATAGAATTTTACAATGAGTAGTTGAGAAACAAAAAAAAAGGGAATACAGCTTGGAAATGAGAAGAACTTTGCAGCCAGTTACTGCAAGACTTAGGTAGTAGTCCAGAATATTTTTGTAGTTTGGCAGCAGGGTAATACCAATACAGATTTTTTTTTTTTTTTTTTTTTTGGCTTGGTTGTGGGAATTATTGCTCCTTGCAATAAATGCTTCAGAGAGGAATTTATCTTAATTAAAAGGTTGCTTTTAAAAATTTGTCTTTATGTCTTCAGCAGTTGCCTTTAATGAAACACAAACTGCTTGTGTCACTTTTCTTGTCGGTATTTAATATGTGTGAGCTGCTTGTTCAGTAAACATTAGCTTGCTTTCTGTTGCATATTCTTTCTGTTAGACCAGTAGGATCAGACTAGTCTCAGGGGGAAGTTAGATGAGAGCTGAGCAGTCCAGAAAGTCCACGTGCTGTTGAAGGGGACAGAATTTTCCTTTGCCGGATGTGTGCTTCTTTCTTCACCAGCAGCGGCAGCTCAAGGGAGCTCACTAAACTTGTTGAGTCAAATTTGACTTGCTGATGTGACAAAAAATATCTGTTTTTTTCTCATTTTCTCATTGTGTGGGGTTAGTTTTCTTCCAGGTCAGTGAACTGACTCAGCTCACAGTCGTCAGTGGGACTGATGCTTTAGATGCAAGTGAGGGGGGGAGAGGTATGGGCAGGGGTGTGGCCCTCCTCATTTGGCACCGGTGACCATTTCCATGAGCTCAAATCACCTTGGGCAAGTTCACCCAAAGTGGATGGAATTCACTTCCTAAGATGATTTACCAGACTGAGTCTGGCTTTGGCAAGCTGTGGGCCACAGTGAATAGTGTGGTTATTTCCAATGGCCTTTAAATAACCTTCTCAGCAGGCCTACAATTTATTAATTTATACTAATTGACTCAGATTGAGACTATTTTATGGTAATTGGTTAATTGTTACAGCACCCAGATGCAACAGCAGTGAACACTGTATAAAAATGATGTGTGAGTCATTACTGATTCAGTGCCTGGCACCTCCTTGGCAAAATTTTATGTCAGCATTGTTGGGTTCGTTTTGGGTTTTAATAGTGCCAGAACGTTAGTTGGTCTTTCAAGAAAACTAAAATTAAGTAAGTTTTCAAAATGAATGCTTTATTAAAAAAGCTTATCATGGACAATAATGAACACTATAGTTGGAATAATCAAATAGAATAGATCGTAGCACGAATACACCTACTATCACATTTTTTCACATGAATTCTTATTATAGAAGTGAGAATTACATACTAAATGGGTGAGAATTGTTCCCAGATAGTCAAAATCAGTCACTTTTACAACCATTGCAGTAACTTAACCTCCCTCTAAGAATAATGCTTGTTTAATGTTTTTCCTCACTCTTTTTAGACTTGGTGGAGGCCCAGATGATGCAAAAGAAATCATGCGCCATAGTTTCTTTGCTGGAGTAAACTGGCAAGATGTATATGATAAAAAGGTATGTCTTTGCATGACGTTGAATAACCTGACTTCTGCAAAGTGGTTTCAACTGGTAGTCATAGGACTGCTGCTCTCTGAAGTTTGTCGTGTTTTACTTTGCAACTTTTTGTGTTGATACAAATGAACAATTATTCTGAACGAGGTGTACTTCATCTTTTGGTTTTCAGTAATAACTTGTCAGTGGGCCAAAAACAGATATTGCAAACCAATCTAAACTCAGCAAAGATTTTTATTACCTAAATGTCCATATCTTCCTTCCCTTCGTTTTTCTTCCTGGGCCTTGAAGAGAAAAGTAGGTGTTATGACTCAAGATAATGTGAGAAAATGTAATGGAAGTGTAGCTGGAATTGTCTTTTTATTTTTGTGTTTTAATAAAAAGTTTGTTTCTGGAAATAAGAAAATTAATTGATTCCACGAGACTCATAGTAAAAATCTACTTTCTGGTTGTTTGTAGAGAAAACAAATAGAAATCTTTTTGAAACTTATTTTTAAAGACATAGCTAAGAAAATTAAAATAGCATTAAAACACTGAGCTAAAACGGTTTGTGGAAAAATTGCGTACTGGGAATTCAGTTGGAACAGTTTTTTAAACCCAGTCCTGTTCCTGTAAGGATCAGTACTTTGGGGATCAGTTTAGAAAATTAATTTATCATACTCAGTAGTGAAACTCAATTTGACTTGAGTTGTTGTATATACAGAGGCTGTTTTCATCTCAGTACTTGCTTAAGAAATTACTTGTTGCTATAAACCCCTTCCATTTTGATAGTAATTTTTTTCCCGTTTTATATTGTTAATCTGCCGGTTGAGCTGTGTAATTGTAAAAGATAGATTTTTATTCTTTTTTTTTTTTTTTTTTAAGATAAAAGGAAATGGAAGACATAGGAATGAGCAGGATATGTTTATGCTACAATGTCAATGGTGCAAACCGTTTTTTCAGTTGTTGAACTGGAATTTAAAAAATGTGTTGTTGATGTGGTACTTCTCTGACAAATACCAGAAATGAAATAGGAACCTGTGGATGATGATGCAAAATATGGTACTCTGAAGTTACTTGATACAAGTGTGATTTTTCCCTGGCAGTATCATGAGATTTCAAGAAGCTCTAAAATAAGTAATCGGAGCAAGTATATTAATCAGGTTACCTTATGAGCTCAGCCACTGGTTGGTTGTGTAAGGACATTGTAGCAAAGCACTTTGAGGATAACATCTAAAAATACATGTTGAGAACCTTTATGGAGTTTAAATAAAACCCACTAAAATCAATTGGATTACAGTGTCATAGGAGTGGGTGAGAAAGAAAAAGCTGTTACATTATTCTTGCTCTGTTGAAAAAGATTTCTTAATTATTATACATTAGAAATAGAGCTCTCAACTCTACACTGTGTTCAACATCATATTTAGTTAAGAAAATGTAGATTCTCTTAATTTTTAAGCATGCACTTTGAGTCTCTCAAAATTAATATGACAAATGTCTTTCAGTCAAGCTCTTATTCTGGGTTATTAAAATAAAAGGAGGTATTTTTTTCTGGTATAAATATGTGTATATATTTTAGTATAAATTCATCTGTATATTTAAAAAAAATATAAACATAATAAATGCAATTATTTTGCTTTTATGTTCAGGGAGGTGGATGTGGCTTCTTGGAGTATTATAGCTGGAGAAATTGTAGTCGTTCATTGTTTACTCTGTCCACCGTTGCTTTGAGGAACTAACTTTGCCAGTAGAAATCAGTTGAATTTCCTCAGTTCAACAGTTGAATTTGAGGATCATTGGAACTGCTTTGGTGCAGTATTGGTGCACAGTGTGTTCTTTATGGAAAAATAACTCATGAAAATGACTTCTGACAGAATATTTTTCTGTTTATTTAAAAAGTAGTTTTGTCCTATTACAAAACCATTTGTCTGATTGGTTAAAATATCCAGTTGTTCTTTCTGCACACACATTCTTACCAGTTTTGAAGTATGCAGTGTGTAAGACTGTGCTCTGAAATATAAACTTCAAACATAGTGAGGTTAATGAACTTTGACTGAACATGTTTATTAGAATGCTTATATGAATATTTTTGAGGTTTTGATATTCTAAAATAACTCACGAGGAATTTGCATCAAACAAATTTGATTTTCAAATAGATTTATTCTATGCTTGCTTCTGTTGCTGTTTATTAGTAGTAGTATAGTCTTCTGCAGTAGGGTCACTTGATGAAATTGATAGTTGATATAATTATTTGCATAGTAAAAATATTTCTCGGCATT